GGTTCAGATCAAGAAGCTTGTCCAAGTCTACACCACGGTAGCTAAACTTGCGAAACGTGCGCTTCTTACGCAAAGCAGCAAGCTCCAGGTTCTTGTCTTCCACGGATTGGTCAGCCATTGTTTTTAGGAATAAATAGTTTTGAGCAGCGGCGACTTTACCATCGATTGGCGTACAAGAGCCACATTGTCATTGGCTCAAAATACAGACAGAAAGATACTTACTGGAATTTTTTCATTGACACGATTTCAAAACTATGGTATATGTTGACATGAATGTGCGCCCAACAGCTCGGGTTTCAGTAGGCGAAGTGCAGCGATGTGGGTGGCAATTTTAACCTATTTTGGTATTTGTGATGCTAAGGCATTGCTGATATATTGAAAGTGGGCTACGCAATTGTGTGCGTTAATGTGGACTGCGAAATCAACAAAAAGCCTGATCCCGCGGCAATGCTGCCAGATTTGCCACAAGTAGCGCAGAAGGATAAGAGCAAAAAGTCTGCAAAGAGAGCTCAGAAGTATACAGCTGTACTGGACAGTGGTCTAAAGTTGATAGATGGGAAATTCTCTGATGATAAGGAGCTGACGAGGCAGCGCAAACGCATCACGCTAAAGCTGGAGGAAATGTCGGACGCACAAAAATTGGTAACCATATTGAAATAATCGCTTGCGTGCATGGTTTATTTCTTCTTGAAACTCACCGGTTCGAGCTACGATAGATGACATCGGATGTGGTTAAAGATTACGATGTTGTAGCCGCCGAAGCTTTGACTCCTAAGGTGTTTCAGTACTTGTGTGAGCAAGCCGACATTGATCTCATCACGTTTGACGTTACTAACCGGCTTCCTTTTCAGCTGAAACGGCCATGGGTGCGTGATGCGTTGATTGGATTGGTCACACTCTTTCTGTATGTGTAATAATTACTTGATGCATTCTTTTTGGTCTCCAGATCACCACCGCTATGAAGCGTGGTCTTTACTTCGAGATTACATACACACCTTGTCTGGGTGATACTGCTGGACGTCGCTATTTTTTTTCTAATGCAAGCAATCTAGTACGGCTCACGAATGGCAAAAATCTGGTGTTATCTAGCGCTGCGGCTCGCGATATTCTACTCCGTTCACCTTACGATGTCTTAAACATTGGCCTTTTGATTGGACTGAAATATGGTCAAGCTCTGGACGCCATATCCACATCTTGCCTAGCTGTTCTAGAACACGCAGACAAACGCAGAGGAATTCTAGGAAGCGTTCAGGTGCAAGCCACTGAAGATGTTGATATGGTCTAGACATTGAGTATTAGTCGAAATGACGCCCTTCAATTCCAAACATCTAAATCTGTTCCATTAATTTTGTGGAGTCCCCATCGCTGTTTATTGTCGATTGACATCTCATAACTTGATTACCAGATTCTTGCTCTGTCAAACCATCACACCTTCCCCGCCGCAGCACTTATAGGCTCGTCCATTGATACCATATCATCGTCATCCTCCTCGTTTGTGTCAATGGCCACATCTTCTAGCTGATGTGCGACTTCGTTTGTCGTCTCGCCACCCTCTTCGTCCTCAGCCACAATAATTTGAGCATTAATTTTACAATCAGTAACTTTTGCCTCTGGAGCAGCAATCAATCCGAACTATCATCAGTTTCGACTGAATGCAACCCACGGCAAAGACCGCAAAGACAAACCTTGCAGACACGCCTCAATAGGCTCGATAAAATGTTCAAAATCTGCGTCTCGAAGTGTCTGCAGAACATCTTTTAATGTGATAGTATTGCGCTTGTTAGCTACGGAAGTTTCGTGTGCTCTGTGGCATCAACACCTGGGTGTTAGTCACCAAAATCACCAGAAGGTTTGTACGATGAGTACCGCACAAGGATGCCAAATACAGCGTAAATACACTAGTGGCAGAGTTGAGTGTCTGCCTCGCATCTTTTGTCAATATTGCACGGTCTGGTAGCGCCCTCTTTACAGCGCGAGCAGTCAAACTGGTCGCATGCTCATGCTCCATTTTATGTTGATTAAAAACGTACTAATCAGATTGTGTGTATAACCATCACTTATCAAATGACTGACGCCGGCGTCAGCAACGCTGAGCTTGAAGCATGCGTTGCAACTTTACAAAAGCTGCACGAAGAAGAGGCTTTCCAGCAGTTTCAGCGACTGCCACAATTCAAGCCACTACGCGTAAT